CTTCAGTTATAGGTGAGAGACGATGACAATGATGATAATAAATTTCATTTGTTACCCGCCTGATAAAAACACACCACTATAAAATAGATACACCAAAACAAATAGTACAAAGATGAAAAAACAGTGGCAATGAAATTCAAATCCCAAAGTCATGGTTCAAAGTTTTCGGGGTAGGTTGTTGTAGGTTTTTCGGGCTATATGGCCATGTTCCAGAAGCATTCTCTCCTGACATTTAACCTGCATCTATGGCAGGCATCCTCAGAGGTTGTGAGGTCTCTTGGAAACTAGGAAAATTGGGTTTATATATCTGTGGAAGTTCCAGGGTGGGAGAAAGAACTCTTGCCTGTTGGAGTTAGCTGTGAATGTTTCAATTGGCCACCTTGATTAGCAGTTGATGGCCTGACAGTTTTTAGGTGTGCCTTGTTACTGCCTGGGGGAATCTTTTGTTGAGAGGTGATCATCTGTCCCTGATTGTTTCTTGTCTGGAGTTCTCCCATGTTTAAGTGTTGTTCTTTCTTTGCTATTATAATTTTAGAATATTTTTAATACTGGTAGCCAGATATTCATTTTCATGGTTTCTTCCTTTCTGTCTACCCTATATCATGCAGCTTTGGACAAGTCTACATAGGGACCACCAAGCGCAGTGCCCAAACATGAATCAAGGAACATGAAAGGCACTGCAGACTACTTCAGTCAGAGAAGTCAGCCATAGCAAAGCACCTGATGAACCAACCTGGACACAGCATATTATTTGAGAACACAGAAATGCTGGACCACTCTCACAACCACCATGTCAGGCTACACAGAGAAGCCATTGAAATCCACAAGCATTTGAACTATTTCAATAGAAAAAAAGAAACCAGTGATTCCAGCCATGAAAGCCTTCGACAATATATTGACTGGGTAGGCCTACTGGAAGAGAAGGTCTTGAGTTGAGTTCTTGAATTCTGACAGCTCATTTAGTTGGAAGATAGAAGAACCTTGTTTTCTGCTGCTCCAGGGCCTAGGTAATGGATTTAAGCTGCAGGGGAAAAGATTTGACCTAAACATTGGAAAGAACATCCTGATGGTAGGAGTTGCTAGTGATTTGGCATGTGGTGAAATCTCCTTTCTGGGGGTTTGCAAGCAGAGCTTGGATGGTCATCTGTCTGGAGTGCTTTGATTGTGTATTCCTATATGGCCAAAGGGGGTTGGGCTGGATGGCCAACTCTATGCTTCTACGAGAGGGAAACAATTTAATGTCACCACTTTGGGCTCTGGGTCAAAGGGATGCTATTATCTGCCATTACTGAAAAATGTGTGTGTCAGCTAAGTAGCTGAAAGTGGCTGCCTTGACTCACAGAAGTGAAGACGAAAGAAAACAAACGTGTTCAGAACTGGTTTAAATAACAGGAAGATCTGGACAGGGCATCTCTACCTGGCTCTGCTCAAAGCATAGGATTATCTGCTTCCTTTGATCTTCTACTCTTTGTACCTTTTCATCTCAATGATGGCATGCAATATACATTTGCCCTTTCTTTCCTGGTATATTTATTTGTGCATCATTGTGACATGGCGAGACAGTATGTCTGAATTGTATGCTGGGCAAGTAATAAAAAATTTGGGGAGAAACTCTGTAATGCAGATGTCAAGAATAAGGAGGAAATCCCCTAAAATGAGATACAAAGGAATCCCATCTCATGCAATGCCTTCATTTAGGCTACAAAAGCTTGAAACAATGAAAAAATACTGTTAACAGTTTGCACATGCCTTGAGCTACATAACATGATTTTTGTTCCTGGCTTATACATGTTTTACTTACTAAGGTGATCCCTTGTCTGAGTATGACGAGTGCAGTGTCTTGGCGGTGGATATGTAGGTGACTGTGGAGCCCTATTCTTGATCTACATGTTCTCCTGCAGTGAGGACATCAGTTTCCAAGTGGAAGGCGGTTCTTCTTGGCATGCTTTCTCCCTTTCACCCTCAATTAGTGCCTCTTCGAATTCTGCAGTACTGCTGGTCACAGCAGACCTCCAGTTAGAGCGCTCAAGGACCAGGGCTTCCCAGTTGTCTGTCTATGCCACAGTTTTTAAGCTTAGCTTTAAGCCCATCTTTAAATCTCTCTTCCTGCCCACCAATGTTACATTTCCCATTCTTGAGTTGGGAGTATAGTAACAGGTTTAGGAGATGGTGATCAGGCATTCGGACAATGTTGCCAGTCCAGTGGAGCTGATGGTGGAGGACCATCACTTCAATGCTGGTAGACTTTGCTTCTACCAGCACACTGACATTTGTCCACCTGTCTTCCCAAGAGATTTGCAGGTTTTTTTAGAGGTAACGTTGATGGAATTGTTCCAGAAGTTGTGTGATGTCTGTAGACAGCCCATGTTTTGCAGGCGTATAACAGGATTGGGAAGACAATATCTTTATAAACAGGCATGTTGGTATCCCTACGGATGTCCCAGTCCTCAAACACTCTCCGCTTCATTCAGAAAGATGCTGCACTTGCAGAGCTCAGCTGGTTTTGTATTTCAAGTCAATGTTGACTTTTGTGGAGAGATGGCTGCCAAGGTAACAGAAATGGTCAACATTTTCTAATGTTACACCATTAAGCTGTATTTCTGTCATTGGAGAGGGATTGGCTGGTGACTGCTGGAGAACTCGATGTTCAATGACAGGCCAAGCTTCTTGTAAGCTTCTGCAAAGGTGTTTAGAGTGGTTTGTAGGTCTTCTTCAGAATGTGCACAGACTACATTGTCATCAGCATATTGGAGTTCTACAACAAATGTTGTTGTGACCTTGGTTTTGGCTTTCAGTCTGCTGAGGTTAAATAGCTTGCCATCTGTCCGATAGATGATTTCCACTCTGGTGGGAAGCTTTCCATCAACAAGATGAAGTATCATAGTGATGAAGATGGAAAATAAGGTTGGGGCAATAACACATCCCTGTTTGAAACCTGATTCCACCTTAAATGGGTCACTTTGGGAGCCATTGCTGTTCAAGACTGTTGCCATCATGTCATCGTGGAGGAGCTGCAGGATGTTCACAGATTATACATGTCATTTCCTAATTGGTTCTGTCATTAAAACATGGGAAAGGACATCCTGTAGCTTATTTTACTATAGTTTTTCAAGAATATCTCATTGAGCCTCAACAATTTCAACATATTTTTGGCAGCCACAAAAACGAAGTTTGGAGTATAACGAGTACTTTCAAAGTAAGTACCACACAATTAAACAGAAAATAACATTTTCAAACCAGGAACACAACATATTTCCAAATTTGTTACACAGTGTCATGTTTTCATCCCACAACACATAAACAGTGGGAGAAACCTCCCACAAGGATGGTAAAACATCAAAACATCCGGGTGTCACCTGGGCAATGTCCTTGCAGATGGCCAATTCTCTCACACCAGAAGCAAGCTGCATTTTCACAAATCGCTCTTGACACGAGAAAAACAAACAAAAACAAAACCCAAAACCATAAACAGTGTCAATATTTATTATTATTATTCTAGGTCTCATATTTTTATTTGTATTTTTGGACTAGGAGATATAATACATTTACCACTGAGTTGCTGTGAGTTTGCCAGGATGTATGGCCATGTTTCAGAAGCATTCTCTTCTGACGTTCTTCTCATATCTATGTCAGGCATCCTGAGAGGTTGTGAGGTCTGTTGGAAACTAGGCAGGCAAGGTTTATATATCTGTGTAATGTCCAGGGTGGGAGAAAGAACTGCTGTCTGTTTGAGGCAAGTGTGAATGTTGCAACTGGCCACCTTGATTAGCACTGAATGGCCTTGCAGTTTCAAGGTCTGGCTGCTTTCTGCCTGGGGGAATCCTTTGTTGAGAGGTGAGTAGCTGGCCCTCATTGTTTCTTACCTGGAATCCTCCTGTTTTTGACAAGAGTTCTTTCTCCCACCCTGGACTTTCCATAGATCTATAAACCCCAGTTTCTTAGTTTGCAACAGACCTCACAACTTCTGAGGATGCCTGCCACAGATGCAGGTGAAACATCAGGAGAGAATGCTTCTGGAACATGGCCATACAGCCCAGAAAACTAACAGCAACCCAGTGATTCCAGCCATGAAAGCCTTCAATGTGACATTTACCACTGAATTCTAAACAATACAATGTTCTAGGTCAGGCATCCTAAAACTGTGGCTCTCCAGCTTTCAACTCCCAGAATTCCTCACAATTGAACAAGCTCATTAGGGCTTCTGGGAGTTGGAGGCCCAAACAGCTGGAGGGCTGCATTTTAAGGATACCTGTTTTAGGTTGCTGTGAGTTTTCTGGACTGTATGGCCATGTTCCAGAAGCATTCTCTCCTGACGTGTCGTCTGCATCTATGGCAGGCATCCTCAGAGGCTGTGAGGTCTGTTGCAAAATAGGAAACTGGGGTTTATATATAAGGGCCAGCTAATCACCTCCCAACAAAGGATTCCCCCAGGCAATAAGAAGCCAGGCCTTGAAGCTGTAAGGCCATTAAATGCTAATCAAGCCATTCTCACCCTTGAGGCAACTTCAAACCACAACATGCAGAGGTTAAAATAGAATCAAATGTATTTGTCTTCACTTTTTTCACTTTACAATTTGCATTTGGAAATCGCTTGCATTTTAAATATTTATGTGCTATTGTGATTTTTTAAATGCTTATATTGTATTGTTAATTTTTGCTTATGTTCTACACACTGTATGTATTGATGATTTTACTTGGAAACCGCTCTGAGTCCCCTCGGGGAGATAGAGAGGTATATAAATACAGTTTTGTTGTTGTTGTTGTTGTAAGGCTCACCTGGTCTCCAAGAGTGGAATGCCCGCTTCAGGGCGCATACCTTCGCGCTTCGCACTGCGCATGCTCAGTTCCCGGGAATGACCATTCTGACCACAGGCCGGGGAGAGAGCCACCGCCGCTGCTCTTCCTCGGGGGGGGGGGGGGGGGGGGGAGGTTGGCTCCTCCTCCCCCTGACGTCACGGAAGGAGGAGCCCAATCGCGGCCGGGCTTGGCTCCCTTTGGAACGCGGGGGCGGGGCTTCGGCGGCGGCAGCCCCAGCAGGAACATCCTTGCAGCGCCGGGGCCGAGTCGGCATCAGCTGGGGACAGAGCGCGCGCCGTGGCTGCGACCAAAGCAGGTAAACTCGGGAGGGGGAGCCGGGCACAGACCGGGCCTTTCATCCCTCTTCCTTTGCCCCCCCCCCCCCCCCTCACGCAAGATGGACTGTGCCTTTCTCCCCGGCTTCTCCATACATTCGGGGCCCAGGGCTTGGCGCTCCTTCCCTCCCTCCCCTTTCCAGCCTGAGTCTCTCCTCTCTTTTGGCCGCTTTCCTCCTTCCCTTTCTCTGCTTGACGTTTCTCTTGCTCGCTTCTTATCCTCTGATCAGATTTGGAGCCAATCCTAGCGCCCAACCAAACCAATCATCCAACTTCGGGGTCTGGAGAAGTTGTTGCGCACTTTCTACACTCTGGCGTTGATACGGTTTTGACACCGCTTGCACTGCCGTGGGAATCCTGGGGTTGGTAGTTATAGGCACTCTTTGGCTAGAGAAGGCTAAAAGAGCTTGTAAAACTACAAGTCCCACGACGCTATAGTATTATTGTATAGTGTTAATTCATATCAATGCTATGGGACCCTGGGATTTGTAGTTTTAGGCGAGTTTCCAGCACTCTTTGGCCTGAGAAGATGAGAGACCTTGTAAAACTACAACTCCCATGACGCTATAGTATTACACCACAGTATTATTGTATAGTGTTAATTAAGATCAATGCTATGGTACCCTGGGATTTGTAGTTTTAGGCGAGTTTCCAGCACTCTTTGGCCTGGGAAGGCTAGAGACCTTGTAACTCCCACAACGCTATAGTATTATTGTATAGTGTTAATTCAGATCAATGCTATGGGATCCTGGGACTTGTAATTTTATGCGAGTATCCAGAACTTTGGCCTGGGAAGGCTAGAGACTTTGCAAAACTACAACTCCCGTGACACTATAGTATTATTGTATACTGTGTTAATTCAGATCAATGCTATGGGATCCTGGGATTTGAAGTTGTAGGTGAGGCGCCAGCACTCTTTGGCCTGAGAACGCTAAAAGACCTTGTAAAACTATGACTCCCACGATGCTACAGCATTGCACCACAGTATTATTGTATAGTATTAATTCAGATCAATGCTATTGGATCCTGGGATTTGTAGTTGTAGGTGAGAAGGCTAGAGACCTTGTAAAACTACAACTCCCACTACGCTATAGTATTATTGTATAGTGTTAATTCAGTTTGATACTTTGGCTCAATGCTATGGGATCCTGGAAGTTGTAGTTTTACCAGGCCTTGGGCCTTCTCTGTCTAAGACTGGCGGTCCCTCACCAAACTACAGCTCCCATGACTCCATAGCATTCAGCCATGGCAGGTAAAGTGGCATGAATACTACATTAATTGTAAACATAGATGCACACACCCATCAGAGAGAGAGTGGATCTACACTGTAGAACAAATGCAGTTTGGCTCAATGCTAAGGGATCCTGGGAGTTGTAGTTTTACAAGGCCTTGTGCCTTCTCTGCTCAATAATCGCGGTCCCTCACCAAACTACAACTCTCATGGCTCCATAGAACTCAGCCATAGTAGGTAAAGTGGTGTCACACTGCATTAATTGCAAACAGATATGCACACACCCATCCAGAAAGAAGGTGGATCTCTACTGTGTAATGAATGCAGTTTGGCTCAATGCAAAGGGCTCCTGGGAGTTGTAGTTTGGTGAGGCACCAGCACTCTTGGGCAGAGAAAGCCTGTTAGGTATTGTGGGAGTTGAAGTCCAAAACACCTGGAGGGCCAAAGTTTGCCCAGGCCTGCTCTAAATCTAGACATGATTGAATCTTTATTTGTATGCCCTACTCTTAGAAGTGTCAGGATCTTGGTTCTTTTGAGTTTTTAACTCATTTCCGGCTGGGATGATTGCCTTCCCACTCTGTCATAGGAAACACAGGTTGGCAGTTATTGCTACTTAATTTCAGAACTGGGTTGAAATGCAATAATTATCGGGTTGCTGTGAGTTTTCTGGGCTGTATGGCCATGTTCTGGAAGCATTCTCCCCTGATGTTCCGGCCACATCTGTGGCTTCTGGAACATGGCCATACAACCTGGAAAACACCCAGTGATTCTGGCCATGAAAGCCTTCGACAACGCAGTAATTATCCTTTGCAAGGAAGTGATTGTGACTGGGAGGGGTTGCTGAAGGCTTGACCAAAGGAGAAATATGCTGGCAACTTTTCCAGTTCTGAAAAAATACAACTGCCATTCGGTTTGCGTACTTGATGTAGTCACCTGGTATTAGTGAATGAGTTGGGAGGAAATGCACAGTGCATATGTGTTTATTGCCTTATGATGTATGGGAGCAGATGTTGTAACACTTGAAATAATAATATACTAGTAGACTAATAGACACGGGGCCACAGTGGGTTAAACTGCTAAGCCGCAGAACTTGCTGACCAGAAGGTCAGTGGTTCGAATCCGCAGGACAGAGTGAGCTCCCATTGTTAGCCCTAGCTTCTTCCAACTTAGCAGTTTGAAAACATGCAAATGTGAGTAGATCAATAGGTACCACTTTGGTGGGACTTGCTTAGGCGATCCCTTGTAGCCCGAGGATGATGGTCCTCCAAGAGTAGTGTCTTGGCGGTGGGTCCGTAGGTGGCAGTAGAGCCCTGTTCTTGATTCCCATGCTATCCTGCAGTGAGGACATAGGTTTCCAGGTAGAAGGTGGTCCCGATCAGGGTTGGCTTGATGTGCCTTTCTCTTAGCACGTTTCTCCCTTTCGCCCTCTATTTGTGCCTCTTTGAATTCAACAGCACTGCTGGTCACAGCTGACCTCCAGTTAGAGTGCTCTATGGCCAGGACTTCTCAGTTCTCGTGTCTATGCCACAGTTTTTAAGGTTGACTTTAAGCCCATCTTTAAATCTCTTTTCCTGTCCACCAATATTACGTTTCCTGTTCTTCAGTTTCGGCGAGAAGGTAAGGGCACTCCATGCAGTCATGCTGGCCATATGACCTTGGTGGTGTCTACAGACAATGCTGGCTCTTCAGCTTAGAAATGGAGAGGAGCACCACCCCCCAGAGTCGGACTCAACTGGACTTAATGGCAAGGGGAAACCTTTACCTAGCAGACTCAAGCATCCAGGAAATAATAAAAAAAAATAACATTGCATCCACATAGCTGTTTTTAAGCTTGTCTTTAGTTGTCTTAATATGCTATTAATTAATGTATTTCAGTATTAATATCAAGCCGATGCAGAGTTTGGGGTATAATATTAATTAGACCTATTTGAATAGTAGCTGTCAAGCAACCAGAAATTACATTTATCAGGCATGTACCAATCCAAATAATTGAGAGTCTACCGTAATAAACTGAATCCATTCCACCATGTAGATGCACCCCTAGTTGGATCTTTCTTTAAATTAACTTGCCATTTGCTAATCAATTCGGACTGTGATGACTTATGTGAAACATGAGGGTCTGGTGTGTTAACAGAGAATCCCAAGTCCTTTTGTTACCCCTCTGTTTTCATCTGAGAGAAAAATAAGGGACGGGGGAGAGGAAGAGGAAACGCTGTGTGATTTCTGGTGAGGGAAAGTAAGGCTTTCCTGTCTTCATATTTATGGCAGAACAAACTTCCTGCAGTACAAGGAGGAGCAGATAAGAGCAGATAAGCCCTGGTTGGAAAGTTTCCTCTTTTGCTGTCCTTTCAGGTGCACACCAGAGCTTCATACAGGAGAAACACTCTTCTTCCGTTCCGCTGGGAAAAGGCAGCAATCTTCTTTTTAGATAAAATGCATCAAAACCAAGGATACACCTAAAATGCGACATGAATGCAGTTTGAAACCATTTTTACTGCCAAGGCTCAATGCTATGGAATCAAGGGACTTGTAGTTTTGTTTGCAACAGTGTTTCTCAACCTTCCTCATGCCGTGACCCCTTAATACAGTTCCACATGTTGTGGTGACCCCCAAACATAAAATTATTTTCATTGCTACTTCATAATTGTAATTTTGCTACTGTTATGAATCGTAATGTAAAGATCTAATATGCAGGATGTATTTTCATTCACTGGACCAAATTTGGCACAAATACCTGATACGCCTAAATTTGAATACTGGTGGGGTGGGGGGTGGGGAATGGTGTCATTTGGGAGTTGTAGTTGCTGGGATTTATGGTTAACCTACAATCAAAGAGCATTCTGAACTCCACCAACAATGGAATTGTTGAAGGATTGAACCAACTTCGCATACAGAATACAGAATATGGTACACAAAACTTGAACCAAACTTGACCAACAGAAAATACTGGGAGGGTTTGGTGGGCATTGACCTTGAGTTTTGGAATTGTAGTTCACCTACCTCCAGAGAGCACTGTGGACTCAAACAATGATGGACCTGGACCAAACTTGGCACAACTACTCAATGTGCCCAAATGTAAACACTGGTGGAGTTTGGGGAAAATAGACCTTGACATTTGGGAGCTGTAGTTGCTGAGATTTATAGTTCATCTACAATCAAAGAGCATGATGAACCCCACCAACGAACGAATTGGGCCAAACTTCCCACACGGAACCCCCATAACCAACATAAAATACTGTGTTTTCTGATGGTATTTGGAGACCCCTCTGACACCCCCTCACGACACCACCCCCCCCAGGGGTCCCGACTCCCAGGTTGAGAAACACTGATTTACAAGTCTTTAGCCTTCTCTACCGAAGTGTGCTGGTGCCTCGGCAAACTACAGATCTCAGGATCCCATAGCATTAAAGTGGTGTCAAACTACATTAATTCTGCAGTGTAGAGATGCATCCTTTGTTCTGTGAGATAACTGTTCCAAAACAATAGAGTATAAGGTCATTTTTGGTAGCATCTCTATGATAACTGTATCTTGCATTGTAGTCCATAGGCTGTAGTGTGAAAAGTCAAGATAACAGGAATTCAAAAAGCCAATCCTGAGAAATGGATTTGTGAATTGTGGATATACGTAAAATTAATTTGCATAATGAGTCTTGAAAAAAATACTCCTGCTTCTGAGCAGTGCAGCTGCTGATGCTAAAGTTCAGTCCATGTAAGATGGTATCTGCGTCAGTCATCTATAATTTGTCCTGT